ATATTTTATTATTAAAAAATAAAGTGTATTAATAATACAAAACTAGGTATTAAATATACATATATATTTTGTGAATTTAATATTATCTAAATGTGGAAAGAAAAGAAGTAAATTAGTAAATAGAAAAAACTAGCGTTGATGTGCTTAGTTGCTGCCGAAGTTTGTTTTGTTTACGTGTATAAAAAAATAAAATTGTACAAACATGAGTGTTAAATTGTTTTGTGTATTATTTTATTTATATATATTTCAAATAGATATTTGTTCAATAATTAAACGTGTTTTCTGTAATAAGTGTTCAGTGTTGTTGTGTTTAGAATTTCTTTACAAATTTTGTTTTCATTCATAAAATTTGTAACAAACAAATTAAATTTTTTTCGTATATTTTAGATTCTGCACATGTATCGATGCCCGCGGCACGTTGGCTTCGAGGATCACAGGTAATGTCCATGATATGTTGAATAACATTTTAATTCAATTTTATGTTTTTTTCCAGCTAAGCCTACTTCAGTTATTTTCACGTGAGTTAATAAATATATTATGTGTAGTGGTGGCGGTTATTTAACACACAGACTGTGTTTTTCTCTGCTTCTTGTTTTATGTAGCACAGAAATTTACTTTGTAAATTTGTGTCGTTACATTTCCCTCCTTCTTCAGAACAGAAATTAAACTAAAACTTTATTTTAATGATACGTTGATGACCCCTCTTCGGCTAATTTGCACTTGATATTTCTGATTTTCCATTTATCCCTTATTTTCCATATGATACATGCTAATACTTGTGTTACTAATATTCCTTTTAGAACGAGGCTCGATTTCTCTTTCTAATCTTTGGACACTTGAAAATTTTGTAATACTCATCTTGGTTGCTGACCTGATGATGGTCATCCTTTCGTTTAAATGTACCTAGACGTTGTACGAAAATCTCTGGCTTGTTTCCTTTTGTGCTTGGTTTAATGACGTTCAATTTCTCTTGTGGTGACCATGGTTCTTGTTGACTGTCATGCTTGACTGTACCCTTTGCTTGAGTTCCTTGGCTTGGTAGTTCCGTGTTAAGTTTACTATCTGAAACATTGATAACTAATGGACCTAATGAATTCGTAAGTTGTACATGACGATTATCCGATACTGGCTGTATTATAGTAGAATTCCTCTGTAGCGATGTAGTTGATGACGAAGATGATGGTTGACCAGATTGGTGATTATCTCTTGGTGGTGCTTCTCGTGGTGACTGTGGCTGATTAACCGAAGATGGCGGCTGTGGCTCAAGTTCTTTTGGTTGTAACGATGATTTGAAATTACCTTGCGAATGACTCTGTGACGTTTGCGATGATGATTTAAAATTACCTTGTGAATGCCCCTGTGGCGTTTGCGATGATGATTTAAAATTACCTTGTGAATGCCCCTGTGGCGTTTGCGATGATGATTTAAAATTACCTTGTGAATTGCTCGAATGACCTTGTGAGCTGTTTGCGATGATGATTTAAAATTACCTTGTGAATGCCCCTGTGGCTTTTGCGATGATGATTTAAAATTACCTTGTGAATGCCCCTGTGGCTTTTGCGATGATGATTCTGAACTTGTAGAAGTTGGTAGTGCTGGATGATTGACATGTGATGACTCCGGTACTATCATTAAACGTTGTGGCAGTGCTGGACGTGATGATAAGTCATGCTCTTCGAGTTGATGCTTTTGCTCTCGTAGTTGCGTATTCTGATTGTAGTTAACTAGCGACTGTTGTGCATATGCTTGTTGATAACATACTTCTGGACTTTCCCTATGAGACGTTGAAATCTGTGGAGGGGTTACGATGCATTTATGAATTGCCTCCTTTTGTGGTTTTCCCTGTAGTGGTACTGAGTGTGGTTGTGCGTCTAGCACCTGTGGACTTTCTTCGACGGGTTGTGGTTCTTTTCGCGTTACATCCTGTGCCTTTAATCCAATCAATGATGAAATCAGTGGGTTTTCTTTAAACTGTTGTGTTTGTGCTTCTCGCACCTGGGGATTTACTTCGACGGGCATAATGGTGTGTAACTTCTGTTGTGGTTGGACTTTCGGACTTTCTTTGATGAGTTTCGAACAATGTAGATGTTGTGGTTCCTGCATATTTACTTGCGATGTTACTGAGAGTTGAGCTAGATTACTTTGACGTTGCATGCTTGGTATCATGGTTGACTTGGATAATAATGGTGTCGTTGCCGTTTTAATGGTGTTTATTCGTATTGTTGTTTGCTTAACTTTGAAACTACTCTGCTGTTGGTAACTTTTCTTGTTTTGTGGTCCATGTGGCCCCAGATTCACACTGTAATCAACGTGCTGCCCTGTTCTTGTAGTTGGCATACATTTCGTGGTATTTGGTAATGACGTCGCTTCTGAGTGTTTACTTATCAGGCGATGACTGATCGCTTCCTGTACCTGACTTCGACTTGTTTTAACTCGCTCTGTACGAAGTTCTGCTAATCTTTCGTAATAATCATATGGAAGGAAAAATTCTAAAAAGTCTGCCTTGAAGCTTGACCAAAGGGTCCAACGTTTATTGTTATTACGGTACCACATCGCTGCCCAATCTTTAAGGAGTATGGTCATCATCCTTGGGACTATATTTAAGTCGATGTCATAGATTTCTGATAGCTCTTCTATTCTTTCCACGAAGTCTAATGGATTTCCTTTGCCGTTATAACGTACTGACCAGTCAGCTATTTGGTCCAGGCTTTCAATATACGAAGGCATTGTATATTAATTCCTCTCGTGACTTTGATCAAGACCTTCTCTTGTGATGATGCACTGCTCTGTTTGTCGAACGAACTCTTTCACTGTTCCTGTTTTAAAGATTCGCAATTCTAAGCCGTGGCTTCCGATTTCCCTGTACCCGTGTTCTAATGACTTTCCTCGTTAACCGTTTGTCCACTGTTCTCCATGTTCCTATCGTGTTCTTTTTTTCCTAAAACAACGTCCCTGTTCAACGTTCGTTCTTGTCTAAAACAACGTCCCTGTTTAACGTTCGTTCTTGTCTAAAACAACGTCCCTGTTTAACGTTCGTTCTTTTCTAAAACCAGGTCCCTGCTCGGGCGCCAATTGTAACGACACTTTTGGTGACGTTCAAAAATTTTTAGTTTTTGCTGGGGTATCCTCAGCCGTCGTCCAGAGTCGTGACAATATATTTATAATTTTGCCGAGACGTTGGTTTTAGAAGGAAACAGAACGTGATTTATATGTATAAATTATATATATATAACTTTATTTATTTCATAAAACTTATGATTAACAAAGTTTAATTAAAATTCATTGGAAAAATTTCTAATAATAAATAAAAAAAATTATGTTGATGCCAAAATTTCCCACTTCTCCATATACTCCTTGTTAAAAGAATCTTAGCAAAACCCGTGTGACTTCTTAAACCCCTCTGCTGTTGTAAAAAAAATAAACAAAACGTTTCCTCCGTGCTGTAAAAACTATTTGACCGAATAGGCCAGGTTAAAAAATATACATATAAGACAGGAAAGGAATTCTACACTACGTTTGACTCAAAGAACCAGATTTGTGACACAATGTGCCAGATGACCAACAGGCCAGTGTACTTGTTTCAGGAACAGTAAAATTTCAAGTTTGGTAAAATTTACCAGAAGGCCCAATGAGCCAGAGTACTTGCTCTTTCACTTGTCGCAACCCAAGTCCCTGATTATATAAAATGTGCCTCCTTTTATATTGAGCATACCGAAGCTTTTTGGTGTAGCGTACCGGTATTCTTTGCTGTACTTGACTTCGCCGTGAAGTTGAACTTTGTGTTCTACTGTTTTCTCACTTCTTCTGCTTCGCCGTGATTTTTAGTACTTTTACTACGCGCCGTGTTTATTTATTTCGTGTGTTATTCCTCTTTAGTTTATATTTTATTATTAAAAAATAAAGTGTATTAATAATACAAAACTAGGTATTAAATATACATCTATATTTTGTGAATTTAATATTATCTAAATGTGAAAAGAAAAGAAGTAAATTAGTAAATAGAAAAAACTAGCGTTGATGTGCTTAGTTGCTGCCGAAGTTTGTTTTGTTTACGTGTATAAAAAATAAAATTGTACAAACATGAGTGTTAAATTGTTTTGTGTATTATTTTATTTATATATATTTCAAATAGATATTTGTTCAATAATTAAACGTGTTTTCTGTAATAAGTGTTCAGTGTTGTTGTGTTTAGAATTTCTTTACAAGTTTTGTTTTCATTCATAAAATTTGTAACAAACAAATTAAATTTTTTCGTATATTTTAGATTCTGCACATGTATCGATGCCCGCGGCACGTTGGCTTCGAGGATCACAGGTAATGTCCATGATATGTTGAATAACATTTTAATTCAATTTTATGTTTTTCCAGCTAAGCCTACTTCAGTTATTTTCACGTGAGTTAATAAATATATTATGTGTAGTGGTGGCGGTTATTTAACACACAGACTGTGTTTTCTCTGCTTCTTGTTTTATGTAGCACAGAAATTTACTTTGTAAATTTGTGTCGTTACAAACTAACTAACTAAATATTAATGAGTATCATGTGCATAGAGTATAAATTATAAGTAATTTGATTTTTATGTATGAGTAAAGTAGAGTTGGGTATACAAAAAGAGAGTCAGAGTCAGTATAAGTGAAATACAACCAATGACTCGAGTGTTGTGTACTCATTGTTCTTTTTTGGTGCACACCTAGTATATTGAATTGTATTATTAAAAAAAAAAACAAGAGAAACGTATATTTTCTCAATTGCTCATCCAATTTGCAAAAATTTTCCCCAAGAATTACAAATTCAAAAACAACACTTAAGGGCAAATTTTATGAAATTTTTTTTTAATGTAAAATAAAAATATAACAATTTTCGTCAACCTTTAAGTATTCACGATATATCTTATTACTGTTAAATATTGAATAAAATTTTTATCAGAAAATAAAATTTTATGAATTTTTTAACCATGATTTAAATTTTTATTACACATGTACCTATTGCAACTTTGTTACATAGATGTTTTATTTTCAGTATTCCGTCAATGTCATAATAGAATAATTACAATGTTTTGAAAAAATGCGGTTCATGAAATTAAGAAATATCCTAAACGAAGGTAGAAAATTGTTACCTGTGGAAAATACAAAATATGTTCGGAATTTTGGAATAACGAGCATTAAACGAAGTCCTGGTGCATATGATGCTGATGGTAAAACCAAGGTATCAATATTAAATACTAGCTTGGAAAATGGTCTAATGATCACAGGATATAGTCAATACGGATTTCGGCTCAACAATGATGTAGTTGTTATGGGACCTATAGCTATATTTCCTCGGTAACTAAAGATTTCACAAATATCAAAAAATTTTTAATTCATTTTCGCCTTAGATCAATACTATCTTGGCATGTTAATTCCTTTGAGGATATAAATGAAAACAGTTTGTCGATATTTTATGCATTAGAACCAAAATTAGATGTTCTTGTTCTCGGTATCGGAGATCAAGCTCCATCGCCAAATTTTTCGAAAAAAATAATGGAATTTATGAGAAACTACAAAATAAATGTCGAGATATTGCGCACTGAACAGGTGAATATTATTCAAAATAGTATATTATGTAATACGCCAAATATATATTATTTATATTAAAATTTATCATTTGTTATATGCAATTATATTTTTCAGGCATGTGCGACTTTCAATTTGTTGAATTCTGAAAACCGTATGGTAGCTTCTGCTTTAATACCTCCTTTATATATTTCATACAATGAGAATGATGTTCTTCAGGCAAAATTGCGGAAAAAAGATCTATACAATACTGAAATTTAATTCACATTTATTTTCCAGTAAAAAGTTGACAGCAAATGTACAAAAACTTTTGTTTAATTATGTTAAAAAGTTAAATTTTGCATCGATATAACATAATATTAACTTTTAGCACAACGTTGATAATTAAAACTTAAACAAATACATGCAATAAATTATGTTAGGCATTAATATTATTTTACAGCTATTCAAAAACACTTGTTAATTTACAAATTCAATATATATTAAAATTTTATTTAAAAACTATAATAGGAGCCTTTAGTATTAAATATTGCCTAAAACGATTTAGTTTACATTTAGATATATGGTAAAATCATGAGCTCTGATTATTTACAATTAACGAGTTAAAAATAAAGTTATTTGTTTCTAAAATGTGCATTTCTGTTATACATATTGCAATTAGCAAAATAACGTATCCGATATATTGAATACTTTTTAAAAACTCCCATAATTTATCACAAAATATGCTTAATAGAAAACAATGCACCAAAGAATGTACGTTTACAACTCGCCACATCCAAGCAACACAGAAAAACCAGGCAGACTTGAAGACTGTATTTTGACGTGCCATTTGTACTGCAGAAACATTGGTGCGTTCAAGAGAATCTTGATAGACAGCTATATACCGATTCCATGCTGTTGAGCTTAGTAATAATTGACCAGTAAAACTAATAACTTTCTTTGCAACTTTTCTCACTGTTGGTTTAGGTTTTTGTCTTACAACAGGTTCTGGAAGTTTGGATTCAGTAACTGGTAATTGCGAATATCCTCTACGTGGTGGATTATTTTTTAAATATATGAAAGCGCCCAAGAGAAGAGCAATACAGCCCAATCCATCACATATACCATCAATGTAATATCCAGATGTTCCTACTTCTGATCGCTCACCTCGTATGTTTTTTTTCACTCTTGCTACATGTCCATCTAAGTCATCTAGAAACGTTCTAAACTGAAATAGAACAACACCCAATCGACGATAACCGAGACTACTAGAGGCAACTAATTTGCCCGATATACACGCTACAATTACATGGAAAAACGATATCATATTAGCTGAAACGAAAGATCTTGAAAAACCAACAACATTGTCGAATAATGTAGCCAATGGTGCAAATAAATAGTGGTTGGTATGATCAAGTAGAATTGCTTTAACTGTAACATGACATAATGGATTATAATCACATGATAGCCATGTTTGTTGTTCATATGAATTGATACTGTTTACATCAGTTGGATCCACTGAAGTATTAAAATGATAGTTTCGGTCAATGGGATAATGTTGAATACGTAGATATAGCTGCACATCCATTGCAATAAAAAATATTATTACAAGTATCAGCAGCGTCAGTAATATTTTACTAATTTGTGAACTTGGACCCATCATTTTTGGTTTAAATTATTTATTTTAAGAAGCGTTAATACTTGTTGACTAGTCAATCATTTGTTCGAAGTGGTATCAAATAGTTTAAAACCTTAAAAATATATATGCATGAGATTAAAATGCATCAGTTTAATAAAAATTTATCAAAATTACCTTAGAACATTTAAGTTCTAGTTTCACTAATTAAAAGCCGATTGCTCTATACATTTGATAGTTACATATCTCACTTCGATTATCAAAAGCAAAAACAACTTTGTACGGTACTAAATTATTTTTGCAGGTCATCAAGATGTGTCAAGGAGTAAACACTTTTATTAATATAATTTAATTACGATGTAGTGAGTAAGCAGGTGTATAAAATCTAAAAAAAAATTAAAAAGAATCCCATATAAATATATTATTTTGATTAGAACAATAATAAAAATAATTAAAGAGAAAATTATGAGAATTTCAACATTATCAATCTGTTATCACACTCTGTTTAAAAACATATTGAAATTCTACAAACTTTCTCAATCCAAACATACATTTTAATATACAATAACAAAGCACTGCAAAGTATTAAAAAAAATCCACACCTAATAATTCTCAAACAACACTATGTAATGAACACAAAAAAAACCGATTACGAACCTGTTGGATTATTATCGATAACTTTTATTTGACAATTGCGACTAAGGTTACTATCTAAATAGATTTAATAAACACTACTCAAAAAAGCAAATATATTTATTATATCTTGAATATTTGATATATAATACTCAAAACAAGATATATAAAATCAATTAAATACAACGAAATAATTACGTGCTCATTTTATACGCATAGATTTACTCTCACAGAGAGATGTGTTTGTAGTCGAAGAAATATTTCTAAGATAAATTAATACTTTTATTTTTCTGTCAGGATTCTATGCTTGTAACATAGATTATATATTTTGTATAATCTATAACAATCTTAAAATAATGAAAATATTTTCAATATTAAAGCTATCAACGTTAACATTACCATTTAAAAAATCTGTAATGAGGTTCGGCTCTGAATTTACTCTTAAATATGTAACCTTTTAGTTTATTTGGTAAATATCATTAATTGGATTGATTCTTAGAAATTTAGTATAACAGTTATTTATAAGTTTCGTAAATAAAAATAAAATATTTCTTTTGTTTATATTATTTAATTATGAATTAAAATGGAAATGTCAATATTTAACACAGCGTATGGCAAACTGTCAAATCTGAACTGATTAATCAGCTGTTTGCAGAATATTTATGTTTAATTTTAGGGGCATCTTAAAAATTTGATCGAGCTCTGCTTTATAAACAAAATTTGTATTTGCAATTTTGCAAAAGTTTAGCAAGATAATATCAAATAGATGCAAAACGAACTTCTAATAGTATATGATTTGTAATAGAACGTTTCCTTTATTTATGAAAACTAAATATCAACTAATGGGAAGTAAAATGAAAGGAAAATAGTTAATTTTTTGAAGAATTAATAAATAATAATAAAGCTGATAATTGTATGGGCCTATTTACACTATCATGAACGTGAGATGAACTTGACGACAACATGAACTGTCAGTACAGCAGGCTGATTCCACTAATCGCAATCGCTAAAATTCTTTAAATGCATTTTAGCGACTTTTGCGATTCTGCTAACTCGTTACACTTAATTTCTATTCGCTAATTTTCTTAACTTTCAAAAACAGCTGATTTCTCCGGATAAATCGCTAAATCTCCAAATTTCATATTCTGCTAAATTGGCAGTCACTAAATATCGTTAAGAACGACTAAAATTTCTCCTAATTTGATTGTTTTTGGCGGTTAGGTTTTTACTGTCGCTAAAAGTGAAAATATTATTTTTTAAACAAATTGAGCAATTATTTAGTATAATATTCATATTTATTTATTAATTAACTTATTGTGATAGAAATAAACTTGCATTTAAAGTTAAAATGTAAAAAAACTAATAATATTACAAAAATTTTGTGGCAGTAATATAGTGAGAGTGTGTTTGTAAACAAATGTATTTTATATTTCATATTTTATTTTTATTTTTTGTAATTGCACCAAAAATAAATAAATTGCATATGAAACAGTGAACAAAATAAATACTTATGTACCTATTTACACATATGTTATTTAATATATTTTATTTATTATTTAATTTTCAGATATTTATGATGGAATTCGTGGACTTAAAGACATGCATTTTATATGAGTATAATCAATTGCACCAATTACCCCTGGAAACCGAAACTTTTCATAAAATCTGCAAATAATTGCCAATTAACTACATTGTATTTTAACACAAGATTTCGAAGATTTACTTTTCTTTTATAACGCATAATTCCTGAAATGTTCTAGGCCATTATATTGGCAACCTCCATAA